AAGGATTCAGCATCACTCATTCGCCAGATGTGAATGTAAAACCAGTCGAAATGGGTCTGAGAAAACTTTTCTATGATGTAGAATTTACTAAGTGAGGAAGCTTCCAACTTTTTTTGAGAAATGTTACGTAGTAGTGCATTTGTAGATGTCTTCGTTTATCTACACTGCGCGCGAGATGTCCTGTTTCACAAGAGATGACGTTGACCCAAGCGCAGTATGCCCTTCTTCACGAGGTAAAGCTGGCTGTCACTCGTAATGCTGGACTGGCGGATATCCTGGTAAGATTCTAGAACGTGTTTTTTTCATAACTAATCTTCTGGACATTCCCAATCATGGAAATATATGTTCCTTTTTTGTCATTAATGGCTTTGATTTCATAATCTTTCTGTTATGCATTCTACTCTACTCTCCATGGCGATCACCCGTGGGTGCGCATCAGAAAAGACACACTCGTAATTTTTGTCTCAGGCGGTGGCGTACCGAGCCTCCTCCCCCTCCCCTTCCTCCTCCCGAAGTGGATCGCGAAATTTTTGAAAGTTACATGGTTGTAAAAATGTGCAAGTAACTTGCTCATACTTGTAAATGATTAAAATGACTTCTGAAAATTTTTAAAAATTGAAATTAGCCTTTTAATTTGAAAAGCGTCCCAAAAATTTTTTCAAAGTGCGTGTTACCGCTCCCCTCCCCTCGGTCGGTAATCCTGGGACCGTCACTGGTGCCAACCTAAAATTTTTGTCATGTGATTTGAACAAAAAACCATTATTATTCTTGCCATAATTTTTGAATTCCAAATTATTGATAAGTCAGTAAGTTGAGCATACTGTATGCTACGCAGATGGACTACCATGGTCGCGTATCTATGTTTGGTTCACCTGAAAGCATTGTTGCTGCACGATTGGAGGTGAAACGCTTGTTTAATGAGAACGGACTGGGGCCATTCGAATTCCTTGAGCCAAATCCAAGCTTTGACACAAGTTAGTTGCCTTTTATAAGAGGCATGAGCTATAATAAAGTTTCCATCTAATATGGTAATTCAGATAATAACAGAGTTCCCAGCGTAGATGACGAGTGCCCCTCTTTGGCGCAGGATAATGAGGATTGGGTGAGTTTGGCTTTACGATGGACAGTTATGGATTCTGCTATTATAAACTACGAGATATGATGCTCTCAGCGTAATTACGATTTGCATTGCACTTTACCCATGTATATAGTACAGTGCCGTGCATGAGTGCTGGGCCAGCCCCGTGCCAGCCGTGCCGTGGCTGTGCATGGCTCGTTTGCGCTTACGATTACGCTGTGCCTTAGGCCTAAGGCATACCTCAGGCGATTTCAGTCGTC